CTAATCGTTCCAACGCATGGGAAAATTCATGTGTGCATAGATCACTTCTACGCTTTTCAATGCATGACTCCACATGGGAACCAATGCCAAGACACGCATGGATATGCCCCTCGATTTCTAATAAGTGAACTCCCATCTTGGCATGGGTTCCCATGTGGAGCCATGCATTGACGGGGTAATTTCATGCATTAAAACGCATGGAGTGGCTTATTCAGGCATGGTAACGCATGATATTCAGGATTGCCACACGTGGAAGCGACTGGACAGCGGATCCCACGCGTGATGAGCGCCTGGAAAAGCAAAAGCTTTTCACATGGGAAAATTTCAACGTTGTATATAAGCTAAATACCAAACAGCACGCGCATTAGCTATGACATATTGCAGTACGAGTGAAACTTCTATACTTCAGAACGGCGATGATTATGGTCGTATAAGAGCTTATAAACCAAGTTATGAAGAAACTGATACTCGACACAATACAAATTGCGATTTAGAACCAAATCATACACATTTCCTGTTATTTGATAATGGTAAAGAGCATCTCCATCCAGATAAAATTTTGGAAAAACGTAGAGAAATCGAGAAAGAACTTGCAAAAGCTTTAAAATATTCGATTATTGGTTATGATCCTAACAATGGTATGTATTTTCTTCGATAGTTACATAAGTACAAAGATACTACTTATTTTAATCGTCTTTAACGGACTTGTTCGTTTAGTAATGCATAATGAAATTCCGACGATAATGCTGTTACTAACCGGAGATTACACTTCACTGAAAATTTTGTGTCAAAGTCTGGAGCAATCTACACCCGTAGTCATTCTAAAGGTAAGCATCAGGGCCAGATTGGCTGTAGAATGTTATTATATACCGGTCTACCGTTTTACATTGAATGACCGTGAATAAAAGAACGGATAAGAAAACCTTTTATTTCGTTTTACATTTAAAGTGTGGTGGTTGTAAGCTAGGTAAAAGAATATCGGCAAGTACTTTTTGCAACTGAACTGATCACGGAATTTGCTTGTTTCTCAACAAATTTGTTGTACTGACGAAGAAACCAACTTTAATGTTCCATTGCAGCCGACTTAACCAGTTAAATAAAAATTAATCAGGGAGT